GTATATATATATATATATATATATATATATATATATATATATATATATATTTGTTTTGCTCATCATCATTGATTTGAGACTAAATTGTCCATGAGTGTGTATGGTTGCTTTTTAATGGATACGCTCCAGTTGACTGGCGACCAGTTCAGGGTGTACCCACACCTACTCAGCCGGCATAGACTTTTGTCGTTGCGAAGGGGACAAATCACTCACGAAATTGCCAATTTTAAACTTCCCACAAAGTTGAACAACCCTGAAATAATTGAAGATTGAACCTCCGGGTAATTGATTGACAGCGTGTCTCAGGTTTTTGTCCACAATGTTTTATGTTCAGTTCAATGTGTGTACTATCGACATATGTCTGGAAAGGAGATAGGCTATTATGTAACCCACTGCAGTCTGTGAGGTCACAGAAATGCGCCTTTATGAAATATTAATGACCAACCGGAGTGCTTCATGAATCTTAATGGCGAGACGTGAGAGCGCGGGGAGGCGTCGAGAAGTTTGGACTGAGTGAAAGAAAGAGGAATCGGGAACAGATTATTTTTGACGCAGCACTACTTAGCTTGATTGTTTCTATTCTTTTGTTTTAAATAGGTAAATAAGTTATTCACCATGATGCTAATTGTAGTTGTGATTAGCTGGAGTCCTATGCATGTTGGTCTCATCGTGTGTCGTATAATGCAACACAAAGGCAGAGGCTCCAAAAAAATGTAAGCATTTCAGTATTGCTTTAATTGTACGTCAGGATGGACTTGCTACCAGTCTCATTTTGGGTAGAAATTGGTACACGCTCCTAGCAACCAGACAGCCGCTTACACCGACGTCAGTGTCCTCGCTAAAGAAACACAAGTGTCGCAATGTTGTTGTGTATTTCATCAAACAATTTCTATATTTTATGAAGTTCTTGTCAGCACACTGCTGTTGCCCGTGTAGTATTACAATAAGAGTTTGGTGGCAAAGGTAGAGTTTCACTTCACGACACTTTTAAGACTAGCGGCAATCGGAATAGCTGACGCTAGCTAGCTCGTGAAGCTAGCACCTACCCGTGTTTGTTGTGTTCTGTTCAGAGGAGCAGGTGGATTATACTTGCACAAATTCTGCTGGGTCTCTGTGTGAAAGAGGCTGGAAAAATGTCAATACATTAAAAAAAAAACAACAACAAATACTGGAATGGATCAGATAATGTAAACAGAGTCTATCATTGCACAACCTACTGGCTTCCCGCTTGCACATGACCCCAAGTCAGCGTCACTCATCTCTTGATTTGATCTCCACATTGCAAACTGGTTCCTGCGTGTACAAGCCACGCATTTGTCGTCTGGCAATTCTTTGAGACGCCCGATCACAGTGGCACGCTTTTGATCTTTGCCCCAAATCCATCAGACTGTCTCGGAGGGGGTAAACACATCATGTGCGCCCAGCAATTATTTGCGCCCCCCCCCATAAAAAAAACTGATTTCTTTAACAAATGGCCTCTTTTCATAGAGCGAGAATACACACGCCTGTGTGTTGTCGAGAGCGTGTGCCTTTCAGCATCAATACAGGGCATTTTTAACCACCCTGTTTTTATTTTTCTGGTACGCCAAGAATGTTCATGGATCAGTGTGGCCCCTTTGCGTCCTTAATGGAGACAAATATGAATTAGAATAATAAATATATAAAATTAAAGGGAGGGAGTGGGCTACACATTTTTAATATGTATTTATTTATTCAAAATCAGACCTATTTTACCCGCATTTTGACGGAAGGGGTTTTCATCAAATATTGTGTGCAACTACAAGTAATTGATTTTTATTTTTTTAAGATTAAAAAAAAAAAAAAAAAAAAAACATTCTGTCGTCCTTGTACCCAAGTGGAGATGAAACACGTGTCCACACTTTACGTGTATATAATTGGGGGTGAAATAAGGTTACAAATGTGAATAAAAAATCTTCCTTGTCCATCTTCCCTTCAGATTCATCAGTCAATCGATGGGGATTTCACGAGGAGCTCCGCCCATTGCCTGCCCACCCACCTCCACCTGCGACCTCCCCTCCAGCCCCACCCACTCCCTGCAGCCCTCCATACACAAAATGACTCTGGAATTCACTGAATGGTTTTCTATATGGATTTTTACCCCCTGTAATAGACAAAAACAAAAGTAAGGCGAGAGCGGGAAACGACCTCGATGACCCATAAGCCATAAACGCGTGACACACACACACATACACACACACGCACACACACACATGCACACACATGCACTCCAGCCACGCACAGATCACATACATACAAAAGAAAATTGCACAAACTTTGAATGTTAAGCGCTCTCTTTTTTGTGAAAATTCAGTTGCTTCCTATTTTTGTTGAGGGGATTTTCAGCAAATTGTGGTCAAGCTGATTTTGTCAGGGTATTTTTCTTTCGGTGAAAACCACCAAGCGGTGAGGAAAGTGTTAGGAATGCCACACTGCCCTGACATTTTTATATGAATTTCCTTGAATGCACTCCAAGGTGCATCCAATAGAGATTCATTTGAAACAGATTGCAGCCTTTGTAATCACAGCACTTTAAGAGTTTTCTTTGTCAGGTGTTCATCTAATAGCTGTAAGGAGATTATTAACAAGGATTGTCAGTTTAAAAGTGAGTTGGAGTGGGACCTTTTTCGGATCAGGATTTGTCCCGCCACCACCCCGAAGCTTGCATGCCCCCGCCCGACATGCCTCCCCAGAGCACGGGCACTGATGCCATGCAGGTGGGATCATTGGTGGCCGGCGCGGAGACCCAAAGTCCCACGGACGAAGGCAAGGGCGGAGACACGGATGGATCGGCGGGAGCGGCGAGCCGCCCCGGCACCGGCGGCGGCGGCGAGGAGTTGGCGAGCGAGGGCTCCATCGAGGGCATCCCCCTGAAGAGATGGGTGATGCACGGCGCCGTCATGTTCGGCCGGGAGTTCTGCTATGCCATGGAGACGGCACTTGTGACGCCCGTGCTGCTGCAAATTGGTGAGAACCCAAACAACCGTCACATTGTTCATACCTGTTCGGCCTTTGTTTAAAATAAGCAGCCTGAAATCATTGTCGTTTCCGCTGTTGGAAAAAAAAAAAACAGTTGGAAAAGCTCATTGCCGGTGTCACTGACTAAACATGATGTAAATTAGCACTTGAATCCGAATATCCCCCCCACCCCCGCAAAAAAAGAGCAGTTCAATGTTTTTGATGTAAGTCTTGAACGAACCACAACAAAACACCCGATTTTTTTTTTTCATCTCCGATAATCACAACCCTTCACAGGCAGTGCAGCAACAACGAAAAAACTCTTTGAGGCCGACTAACACAGCAGTGGGCAATTGTTGGCAGAAAACATTGTCTGGAAACATGTCGGCGGGATTCTTGCAAGGTTAGCACGATGAGACGATCACAAAGTCTCGTTCGACCAGTTTAAGTTATGTTCGAGGTCTGCGGTCGGGAAGCTCCCAGGGCATTCGTGCGTGTAGTTTGGATGAGGAGCCCCCGATGATACAACTCAGGTGAAACATGAAAAGGTCTACCCTTACACGGTCATGTGTTATGCTCAAGACAATGCAGAACTGAAACGCAGGAAGCGCGTGCCTCTTTTATGTTCCTTTCGGAATCCAAATTGTTTTTTGTCAAAACAAGCAACGGGATCAATGCTGTCTCTCAAGTTCCATTTTGGTGAGCCGACATCTGCAAATGATGAAGTTACTTCAAAGTTTATTGTGATCCAGTGCTCATTTCGAGTCACTGCTGCCAGACCACAACATCCATGAGCCAGAACATGCCATGTTGTCGTAACATGCAACAAAGCAAAGTGTTTGCGTGGCTGGTTGGACTGTTTCTCGGGGGCTTCTCGCTCGCAAGAAAGATTTTTTGCAATGACCCGGATTTCTGCTTAGATTGGTCAGAAAGTGTCACCTGATCTCGCTGATCTTGATCTAAGTCACAAGAGTGGACAGACGCAAGAGTTCTTCAACCGCACTTTGTTTTTGTTTTTTTTTTTCCAGCCACGCAGTTTATGACGTTTTCACTGCACACAATATAAACATTCATAGTTCACGTTGGAGAAATGTGTGTGAACCCCTGGGCTGAAAGTGAATCTGAGCCAACGCGCAGTCCATTTGAAAACTATCGGAACGGCGAGCTCAATTCCTGTGCTTGGTTTTACTGCAGGTGTTTGCTGTTCAGATCCAAAAATCAGTATGAAAAAACAAACAAACAAACAAACATGTTGATGCTGAGAGAAGCGGAGAATGAAACAAACCAAAAATGGGAGAGGCCGCATCGTCATGGCCGGGGAACAGCATTTCAAATGAAAAATGCAACCAACGAGTCACAGACCTGATGTCATTAACCAAGCAAGGGTTATGCCTCCAAATATAAAATGTTAATCACTTGCAGTGGCTGGCTTCAAACAATAAGTGCTCTGTTTTGGTGTAAATACCATGGAGTAAATGCTGGACTTTTGAACCGTTAATATTCATCTTTTGATGAAAATAACGGTTCAAAAGTCCGGCATTTATTCCGTTCATCGAAAGATGAATATACCAGTGTAGCACAAAAACAAAGGAACTGACTGTGTTGTTCCAATACATTTGGAAGAGACTGTATGTCATATTTCCACTCTTTCGGAAAAATAACAGCGAGTTCTGCATAAAGAAAAGCTCCCGAATACCTTGCTGTGTATTTTATATGCCCCCCCAATTATACTGCCTGTTGGCCTGCGTGCCAGGTAGCCTCCGAATGATCTCGTCATGTTAGCTGGGAGGATAATCTTCTCCTATGACCTTGTGGACGGAGCACCGTGGTTGGCGGAGGGTGGTGAGGGTGTGGGGGGGGGGGCTTTACGTAAATGACTTTCTCCATGTCAACCAGCCACTGATCGCCTTAATCTGATTCTTGTCACTCACCGGAGAGCGACTGGCCCTTTTGAAAAGGGAAGGAAAGGGAAGCGAGATAAGACAGCCGCGGGCCACGCCGGTTGCGCCGCAGTCAGCGTCTTTCGCAGCTCTGGAGCGACTCACCAGTCTGCTCGGCTATTTTAAAACCACCTCCTCCTATTTATAGCGCTTACATAATCTCCGTGCCAACTTTCTGTGATTACTCTGACCATTATTCACGCGCCCTTCAAGGGTTTGGGAGTCTACCAAGCGTGGCAAGCCGGCAGCAGCGCTGGCACGCGGGTACCCAAAGAGCGTCCCGCGGGTGCACGTTTGCCATTGAAGGTAAACTCGCCATGCGTTTGTATGCGTACACGTGATTTAAGGCAGGTACAGTATGTGCTCACAATTATTGGAGGCCATGTGAGGAATGCTGAACTGTTGTGTACGTGTACATCTAGAGGTGGAACATGTATCCACTCGTCATTCGCTCCGTAGGGAACGAACAAAACATCCAAAACAAATGCCGACTAGCCTCTCAGGTGATTCCGATGGACCTATAAACACCAGAGGAAGCAGATACTTACTTTGAAATGGGACTGTTTTCAATTAGTTGTCCTTCGAGAATTCATTTACAGTCACGTTACGAGTGAGCGATAGGGACCAGAGTTGGGTCATCTCCATCCAGCAAGTCATTTCGATTCAATCACTTCGGCATGCTTCCCAGCTACTTTACTGTCTAGTCAGGACTTTGGCACTTTATCGTGTCAGGTTAGGGCATTACAAAGTTGACACAAAAAAAGTTAGTGATAATAAGCCCAAATTTGGTGCTGAACGGTCGCAAAAATATGCCGTTGGGTTCTGTCTAGGAACATGCCCAAATGAAGAGGTCTGGTTGTCTTTTTTTTTTTTTTCCTCTCCCATAAAGTGCAGACTTAATTTGTGCACAAACACACATGCATGAGTGCTTTATCTGCTAACAATCCAGAGCCGGAGAGCTGTAATGGCTGGCCCGGGGTTTTTTTTGCGTTTTTTTAAAAAGCATACAAAACCCATCTGCTCAGTCTCACTGACGCTTTTTAGCATTGGATAGGATGGCCGGATGGCTAAAATGATGCCTGGATCGATCCTTGAATGAATGACTGAACATTAGTCACCAAGTGCGTCATTGTCTTATTTTAAAGACCGATTCACATGAGGGAGTGGAGAATAGTATCTCCAATGATCTCAGTTTTTAGATGTTGTTCGGACATGGACACATTTGAGTCAACAGCTGAGCCCATTTGACTTCATCGTTTTTATTTTATTTTATTTTTTGCTTGCCCAAACAGCAGCACCAAAACACGTGACTGTCGTCTCAAGTTAATTGTTGGTCTAACTCGTGTTACTTTCAGTTCAAGTAAATGAAAATCGACGAGTAACTTGTATTCTGAAGTTTGCCAAGAAAGTTGCCTGCCATCCATTTGTTTTCACGAGGATCGCAGGACGTGCTGGAGCCTGTCCCAGCTGTCTTCGCCATTTCATCTAAATAGGGCTAGCACTGCCAAAAAAAACAAAAAATCGTATTCTTTACTAACCACTTAATGACAAATATCTGAATTGAGCCAACAAATTTTACTTTACAGTGATCTGCAGGTAATGGATTCTATCGAGTCTCCAAGATGGTAGAAAATGACCACACGTCTAAATGAAGCTCCTAAACTCACTTCAACAGTTCCTTGGCATCTAGATTCCACCAAATAGTTCCAAAGTCATCCAAAAGCATCAGAAACAAACAAACAAAAAAAGAAATCTATATTCTTTCTATCCCTTTATGAACTTGAAATGAGTTCTTTTCATTGTATGTGTGAATGCAAGGTTCATACCGAAAAACTACTTTTGAAAATAACCTCTTAAGAGGTCAATTTGGGCAATGGGCTGAAATATACACATTTAGGACAATTTGCAGATGACTCAGTTCGCCGTTACATCAAGTCTATGGCCTCTGATCGGCTTTATTGACATTTGCAGCGGTGGCGTGCGATGGCGGAAACTTCCCCATGTGTGATAATTCGACAGCAGCAGGGCGACCCGCTGTCAATCATATGTGCTCCTTCGGTCGCGTGACTGCCGAGCGGCGTCTTGTTACTGCCGAATAAACAACATTTGTCGTCGCGACACTCCCTCTGTTTCACACTCGCAAACATGCATGAATTTTTCACTGCGGGACAGCTTTTCCGCAGCCCGTCTCACGAGAAGCGCGCGCACGTGCATGTGTTTAAGTACGGGGATCGTATCGTTTACTGTATTCACTTGCGAATTAGAAGTTGTGTGATTGAGCAGTCGGAGGATGGAGGGTGACAACACGGACGGGCCGGCGTGTATTCCAAAATGCCAGGACGTGTGGGTATGAAGTTAACACCCGACACTCACTCCTCTCGCCCTGTACTGTTGAAAGCCGTTGTCCCCCCCTCCAAAGTATTTTTGAACGTCACACTAGACGCTGGCGCTGACTCATCTGATTTTTTTTTGTTGTGGTGTCATCAGTACTGCGTTTTGACATTGCAATTCAAATCAAGTGAAACTAGTTTAAAACCAAATAAGCATTTTGAAGACAGTGCAGGGAACAAAGCTAGAATATCTTTTGGACCCAAAGTGTACATAGAAGAACACACAGCCCAAAACACGAGTGAGCCTCATTCAGGGTCTTCTAAAAAGAAGGGCTTGACTGTTTGTGCGCGCTCTTGCCACTTTGTTTAACTTCCTCGTCCTGAAGTCACTGGAGCAACTCGAAGGAACAGAAAGCAGACGTTTTGAGTGTAGTAAGCATTTTTTTTTTTTTTTTTGTGTGTGTGTGGGGGGGGGCACCTGAATGACAGCTTCGTTTTGGTTCCCACCATCCATCACAGCTCAGGAACATTCTGTTCTTCCTCACACGTTATCCAGCTCACCTTGTTTTTCACCCTGATCCTTTCTCATGCTGCCCTCCCCCGTTCTCTCGCTTTTCTTGTTTCTCTCGTGAAAAAAAAAAGCTTCCTGCAAATTCTCTCAGTATTGTTCTGTTTTTTGTTTTTTTCTGTGCATGTATGCACGTTTGTACCTACAAGCCAAGTGTGGGAACTGAGGCCT